GCCATGGCTCCCCGACTGTCGATATTCCTGCCTGCCCCCTCCGCGACGTTGGCATGTGCCCGCCTCCGTTGGGCCAGGCTGACGACCGCACGGTCCCTCTCGATGCCCTCCTCTCGCTCCGGTGCAGCAGGGTTGTTCGCGATCGCCTCCACCCGCTTCGCACGTTTGTCGGCGGCCCGCTTCTCACTGTTCGTGCGCGCTCTTTTCTTCGATGCGTCTGCCGCCTCTTGGAACCAAGTCATCAGACCGTTTCGTACCTCAAGCGGTATCGATTCTGGACTTTCGGCGGAAGTGGGGCCACCAGCACTACGTTGGAGTGCAGAGGCACTACTACTGTTAGAAGAAGCTGAACCAGCTGCAGAGATCCGTGGTGGAACTCTGGCACGGGCACCGGCAGCAGGTGATGCGGCACCGCCGCTCCCACTACCGCTGCCGCCGCCGCTGCCGCTGTCGCCGCTGCCGCTGCCGCCGCTGCCGGCAGCAGCGGAACTTGTCTTTTGGCCGACAAATTGCACCTCCTTCTCCGAATTCCCTTCGCTTTCACTGCTATTATCCAACCTGGCTTCCATACCGCCAAGAGGCGACGGCATCGCACTGCCGTTCAGCTGTGTAGCCGTGTACAGCGCGTACGTGTCAGCTGTGTGTATGTAGTCTCACCGGGAGACGGGGCACCGTGAATATAATCGGCGACCATCGGCGACTTCACCTTTCGATACGGCGGAGCCCCCTTCAGAATCGGCGATTTTTTTTTTGTTTTCGGCGATTTTTTTTCTACCCTTTTTGCGGCGATTTTTTTCAGAAATCGGCGTTTTCGGCGATCGCCTATCGAGCAAAAGCCTAGCTTCTTCCGCGACGCCTTGAGCATCGCTTTCAGGGTTGCCTCGAAGGCGCTGTTCTTTGAGGCTCCACGCAGTTGCTGCTGGGCCGCCTTTATCTCTTCAGACGCTTCCGAGATCTCGTGCTGCGCTTCGCTCGTGTACCAGCCTCTCTGCCCTCGTGCGCACCTCGCCAGCGGCGCGGTCTCAGCAGCGGCCGACATCACCGTAGCCTTAGCTCGGCGGCTGTGTGTGGCGTGGTTCATGGTCGGGCTTTGACGCCTCCGATGGTTTTGAAAAACGTATGGCTCATTATTCGTTGTAAATTGATGCGTTTTCGTTGCAGTTGCTGTGCCCTTGGCGTCGAATGCT